CCTAATGTTCCAAGTACCAAATCTCATATCCCTTTTCAATTGCCATGGTCATGCCAAAGAGTCCATCGTGATCCGAGGCTTGGTTGATTTTTTCGTAACAATGCTTTTTTTTAAAGGTGAAAAGTTATTAGCCTTACACCCAACCCGGAGGACCAGGGTATCACTCTTAGTCTAGCACATCGCCTTAGACGTGTCCGGCTTGGGTGACCCTACCATGAGCCGAAGCTCCGGCCGGCATAACCCTAAGGGTCATTTGAGCACGCAAGCCTCCTCACCCGGCAGATTGCCTTCGACAAGTTGGTGATACCTTCAAGAAGGCTACAGTGATATGATCTGTCACTCAGTCCGTTTTCTCATAAGTATGATTTGTATTTTACTACTTCAGTATATATGTGTTCTGTTAGGTACCAAGCACGACAAGGACAAGAACGCAGTGGTGCATACTTGTTCCTGCCAGACAGAGAAGCAGAGACAGTTGCATGGGACTCTTCCCCAGTGCGAATATTGGAGGGACCATTGTTTTCCCAGGTTCATATGCATCTACCAGGTGTACAGCATACTGTAACATTGGTTAATACAGAAGGTATGTACACTGTGTTCTGGACATATTGAAACATATTCATTAAACTTATTACTTACATATTTCATTCAGACAAGAAAATTAAAGCATGCAATGCTATAGTTACACACTTGTCCCTACAAAGTGCAAGAAGATTTATGGTTCATGAATATTCATACTTTATATATGCTCTGTTAATTTGATTTTAAATATATTAGCATGTCATTTTAGAAGTATGGATAAAAATGGAAACACTTCTAACCAACCATTATTATTAATACACAAGTACATATGTGATTGGTCATGGTGTCTGTCCCTGACCAAGTTCCCAATCAATTATGTACTTCAACTGCAGACCTGAAGATGGAAATTTGTACCTATTCATGTGCAGTTGTTTTACTCAAAATTAACTTTTCTTCCCATGCTTCATGATGGCACATTTATGATCCACGCTTTCATCTAGAAATTATTGTCTGTTTTTCCGTTATTAACACATATTGGTCCCTGATTAATTTAAAATCATAGCCTTTTCATTGTCTATTTAAAATTGGCTTCATATGATATTCATATAAATTATGATGTATGTTCAGTTACTGCTTTTAAAACGTTTTTGTTCTTATGCATTGGTCTTTGGATGTATAACTTGAGATACACCATTTGAATCACATTTTATCATTCTTTAAAATTCTCATAATTTACAAATACAAGACACTGCTCTTTGATTCAAAACAAAAGTAAGAAGACCTTAGGTAAATATGGTTAACACAGCTCATGCCAGAAAGTCAGACCTAAAATGTAGAGGTGTGTTTTTGTATGTTACTACATTGTGTCCGTAATTAATAGGAGCAGCTATGTGTATAGGAAATAAGGTGCATGTTTGTTTATTCAGGAGCAGACAGTCTGGGGCTACAAGTGCAGAATGTGGTGGACATCTCAGACCAAGTAAACTGTGAGCTGACTATGCGTATATCAAGCAGCATCAAAAATGGAGATGACTTCTATACAGACTTAAATGGTTTGCAGGTGTGTAGTATTTAGCTTTATTTATTTTTTTTAATGATGGGGGCAGCATCAGAATGAAATGTATTTCATCACAGTGGTAGTATTCTTATTGAATTTGGTATACCAAAGAAGCTAGTGAGTCTAATAGGAATGTGCTTAAATGAAACCTGTAGCAAAATTCGAATAGGTAAATATGTATCTGAGACATTATTAATCAAGAACGGTCTAAAACAAGGAGATGCTTTGTCTCCCTTGCTCTTTAACTTTGTGCTAGAATATGCCATTAGGAAAGTCCAAGATAGGCAGGAGGGTTTGCAATTGAATGGGACACATCAGCTATTGGCATATGCTGATGATGTTAATTTATTGGGGGACGATATGAATACAATAAAGAGGAATGCAGAAGTTTTACTAGAGGCTAGTAGACAGGTGGGGCTAGAAGTGAATTCAGAAAAAACTAAGTACATGTTGGTATCTCGTCATCAGCAGATAGGCGGGCAAAATTATCTTAGGGTAGCTAAGTCCTTTGAAAGGGTTACAAAGTTCAAATATCTGGGA